ATATAAGTACATATTTGGAATATTACGTAATGTGGCACCAGCCACAACGTCTTCACTGGGTGCTCTCGGATTGCTCCCTCCGGGCATTCCCAACAGTGACAATCATAGAGCAGAATGAAGATAATCGAATCATGGGACACCGGCAAAGAAAACAGGCAGCAGTCTGCAAGAACGGCGAGGGAAAGAGAAAGAAAGCTTTGAACAAGACCATCCGGTTCCACCCATGCCATTGATCTCCAGCTAGCATGCCAACTTGTACGTGGCAGAGGCAAGAAAAATAAGCAGCGATCCGATGTTCAATCAGCCAACATGGGACGAGAAATACAAGAGGGAGGACTCACAGTGTCCATAGCAGAGTGGCAGAGTTCGTGCCAGGAGGGCCACAGCAGGTGCGCAGGCGTCGAACACGGAGGCGGCATGGTCTCTTCGGCATCTCTTCATGATGAACATACTCCACCGACCCGAAGTGCTGCAGATCTCCCATAGGGCCCCGATTTCCCTTATAGTCGGGGAGAAATCCAACGATAAGTTGCCTCACGGGAAACTGCGGCTGCACATCCGCGAGGACCGAGAGCGCCGACATGTCATCATCGCGCCACGAAAATAGTACATGCATAGAGGAGAGCTGAGGGCACAACGTCGATGCACCTTCGGATGAACGGAGAATATCGACAACGATATACAAGCTGCGAGCATGTAGGACGATCTTTTGAAGCGATGATGACTCTCGGATTACGTTTCTTAGAGAGTGATCCTGGCGACCTCGTCGTTCATCCCGGAAACGACGATTCTGTTGCTCCTCAAGAAGCCATAGTTCGACTATCTTGTGGAGAGATAGTATCCGAGGTAGGGTAGCACACCAGTCATCTGGTTCGTTGCTCACCAAGTGGCGTAAAGAAAATCCAGTGGAATTGCCGACGGCGATGATCGAAATATCTGGGTATCGATATTCAACAAAGACCCTCAGGGCTGCAACAGGTTACGGATGATGAGGAAATCTGAACTATCTCTGATTGTCAAGTCTTCAATTCGAATGGCAGCATCGTCACTGATGATGAGCCCTGGCAAGACATGTGCGAGGATTCCAGAAGCATGACGGAAGACAATCCTCTGAAGTAGAGGAAGTGACACTTTCAGAATTTCGTCCGGTGGTCCGGTCGTTGTGAATGACAACAAGGGTGTGTGGGGATAATCGTCCAATGCGGCTTTTCTGTCTCGGCCATTTTCCTCAGAGACTACGAGATCGATGAGTTGAAGAGTTCTTGACAGCAGGGATGAAAGCTTGATGGGTACCGGGCAGTAATTGTACAGGTAAAGATGGGTTAGATTAGGGAATTGGTTCGTGGGCAACCAGCGTAGGCCGAACAGGGACAGCCGCTCCAAGCATGGCGTGACGCCGTTGAACAGGATGGCACCGTGACCACGGGGGCCGGAGCTTCTTCTAACACCAAGTGTGAGCATCCTTAGATGAGGAGTTGGAAATTGGAGCTCGGACATGAGACCGTACAACGGTTCCTGGTATCTATAGCCGGGGAGGTCAAGGAAATGAAGTTCGCGCAAGCGCGCTGAGAGCAACGGCACCGTGCTGAGAAATGCATCACCCAGGTCACGATCATCTTCTACAACGCAAAGAGGTACAGAGCCGGAGCGCTCTAAAAACTCCCCTACGGCAGCGCCTAAGCGATTGCAGCATAATGTGTCCCAGAGGGACGCGTTCGCGAGCGCGACATTCCGCCAATGCCGACAGGCGTGAGTCGCTGTCACTAGATTTTGCGGGTTTGTCGCCTCATGATCCCATATAGCATGCGTGCGGTTTTCATAATGCCAAGAGTTAGCGCTCGTCAAGAGAGCGGGATCCCGAAGCATTTTGAAGATCAGTGTCAGAATCTCGGGAGGCAAGCGGTTGATGGGAAGTCTAGCGTTCAACGTCGCCCGCACGTTGGCTGCGGTCGTTCTGAGCAATCCATCGATGATGTCCAACTGCGCCACCGGCAACAACGCGTTCGAATGAGCATGTGAACGATACAATCAGAAAAACTCACAGTGTCATTACTGTACATGGGCACGAAACACGTTAGTATCTGGGAGCTTGACGAGTGATAACTCTCTGGCAAACCTTGCATCACCGGCATTTTGATCGACCATCTTAGTCGTCCTTTTCACGAGCTGCAACAGAAAGGAGTCTATACTATTGCTGTCCATGTTGGATGGCTGGATTGCGACCACGCCCGACATTAATGCTGCAGAATGTGACAGTGTGAGACTGGTCAAAAGATGGGGGTGAATGGGCGGCCTCAAACGACTTGCAGATCCGCTGCCCGATCCGCTCAAACAAAAGCCTTATACAGTCGATCCCTACTTATCACGAATTCACAGTCATCTACACATCCACAGACTTGCAACAAGTTCGGATGTCCTCTATCAACAATCTAAACATTCGCACTACGGACCTCATGCTCCACCAATGCCTTGTTAAACGCGTCCTTCCATCCCTGGCGCATAGCCATAACGCGACTATACCCATCGCTCGGCTGTCTCATCGCGAACCTACTCACATGCACTGCCTCAGCAGCCTCCACCAGGGAGGAAGTACGCTGCAAAGCATACTTCTCCGGGAGATACGACATCTGCAGGAAGTGCTGCTCTATGTCCGGCGCTGCCAGCGCATTGCTGTGCGACGAGACACGCGTGATGTCCTCGGTGATCGTCTGGTAATCCTCCGTCACAGAAAGGAGAAGCTGGTCGCGCGTGAGTTGCTCCTTGGGCGTGATGCACAGTTCCGGCACGGTATCACGGTTGAGGTGCATGTCATCGACATACACGCTATTTCCGAGCGTCAGCTTGCCTCTTGCTTTCGGTTGATCAAGATCGAGCTTGTCGAACAGTGTGTGAATGTGGAGGGGTTCTATCCCATGCTGATCGCGGAATGGATCGGTATATATCGAGATGTCGAATGTACGGCCAGGGGCGAAGAAATCTGGGTGGTGCGATCGCCCGTACGGCTGCGTTGCAACCTCCCGTATGTCATTAAGAATTACGATGTCCCCTTCGCGCAACTCTGCATTTATGGACATGGGATCCACCTGCAGTACCACGGACGGTGCGCTCAGTTGCGCATTCGGGTTCTTCAACAGAACATGATCGATATGCTGCTGCTTGTCGTTGCCGTACAGGAAGAACGGCATGAGCGGCGGATATTTCTGACCAAGATGCCTTGGCGCAAGTGAGGTGTGCTTTATGACGGTGATGTTATTCAGTTCGACATTGGTCAAGGAAAGACCATTCTTCTCTGCGTTAATGCTACGTATCTTGCTTTAGTTCTTGTCAAGAGCTAGCGTGCGCAATCACGTACCCATGAATAATCGGCAATCCTTGGTGAATATCAACAGTGCACCTGCGTTCATGCAAAATACTCGCGAGGAGGGCCTTGTTTGAGGTATGCACAGTAAAGATGGCTTCTGGAGAGGCTTTCTGCGCTTGCATATATGCTAGCGCAGCGTGCCTAGGCAGCTCCGCGGAGACAATCAACTGTTGACGGTAGTTGCCGACATTGAACATTGGCAGATACGTCAAGTAGATCTTATCTGTGCCCTGCATTATGAAGCTGTGAACAGCAGCGGACGCTTGTATGCATCTCCAGCAGTTCTGTGAGACGATTAGCAATGGCTAGCTCAAAATTAAGCGACCTCGTCGAACCTGAACTTCCTCTTCAGCCACCTTCCGAAACGCATCCGCCAACTCGCGAACGAAATTCCCCGCCGTAGGGAACGGCGTCATCGAGACGTTGCATAGCCCGGCCAACGGCGCCTCATCATTCTCATCCAGGCCCAATCGCTTTTTGAAGGCCTTTAGACACTCCCCGTATCTCTCCTTCTCCAGCTCCGTGCCCATGAGCATCATCGGCTTCTTCCGCGCGTCGTCGTCCACCCGGGACACCGATAACCGCTCGATAATGCGCGCATTGAGATAGCTCGCTTCCGCGACGTCTGTGTTGAGTGGACCATCCCTGGACACCCTGAAGTTGCACGCGAACGCATTTATCGACATGTCCGAGCCCATTTGCTTCACCAGCGCCATTGCCTTCTCATCCTTCACGAGTTCGTTGTTCGGCCTATCTGTGATGAATTCCTTGATATAGCGTCGCTGCTCGTCGATCTCTCCCTCAGACTTCCCCTCTCGCTCCGCCGGAAGCATAATAAACGGTGTGACGACGAGCACATCCGAGTCGAGGGACATCGTCGCCCACTGGCTGTACATCTTGACCGACGTGAACATTGCCTCGCCGAGCAAGGCGCCATATCCTCCTCTATGCAAGCCGATCACCTCATTCGAGATGTACACCGCCACAGGCGCTGCACCCGGCTTGCTGCCCTCTAGTCCATAGACGCCCATCGACTCAACATCGCCTGCGCCGCCGTCGATATACGGACCCGTCCAAGTGATCAGGAACTTCGAACGCTCGTCCTTGTAACATAGACCGCCTGCCGGATACGGCACGTAGCCACTCTTGTGAGGGTCTACCGTGATGGAGTCCGCCTCGCACATGCAGCGGAGCTGAGTCTCTGTATAACTCGATAGGGCCTGTTCAGGAACGTACGACCCATCGTCGTCGACATCCCGTCCGCCCTTGTAGGATTCTGGCGCCGGGTGGAGAAGCGAGGCGAAATAACCACCCCACGCCGCATCGCAATGTACGAGGAACGACACGCCGTGTTGCTCTTGGAACTTTCGCCGAACGGCAAGTATCTCATCAAGAGGGTCGACCGCGCCATGTTCTGTTGTACCCATGATTGCGACGACAGCGTAAATGGGGTGCCCAGCTTGCGTGAGAGCTAGCAGTCGGGATTCGAGATGCTTGACGTCCATACGGGCATTCCGGTCGACATCAATCTGCTCGACGTTGTCTCTGCCGATACCAAGCACCGCTTTGGATTGATTAATGTTCAGCACGAAGAATTGCGATCACCAAACTCACCCGCTCCCTTCGGCCAAGAATAATGATTCATCTTGCTCACAATAAATTTCGGAGTTTGAGAGACTCCATATCGCTTCTCCAATGGCTCCCTTCCCACCGTCTGCACCAAATATTTCCCTACCACCTTGTCCAAAAATGCTTGAGAGATACCGAACTGTTTCGACAGGCGATTCGGAATGTCAAGCACGACCTCGGGCTTGAGATTCAGCAGATCCAATGTCACGGCATTTACGAACAGAACAGGCTTCCCTTCCTGTCGCGTGAGCGGAATAGTGAAGTTAGATGCGATGAAACCAAGTTCGTCCTCTTCAATAGCCCATTTGAGAGACAGAGGGTAATACTTGAGATTACGAGCTGAGATACCATGAGGTCACGGCCTTTGGAGCGGTAGGAGATAAAGCTGCTTACCGACCCTGATATACAGGGTGAGCTTCAAGTTCAATGCTGTGAATACCAACTGGGGTGCTCACCACATCGATTCGAGATTCGCAATGGAGCCATCGCAAGTTACATGACCCCAACCCTTGTAGGAGCCGTCTTTCGTGTCCTCGGTTGTGCGGTATCCTAGCATCTTGCACAGCTGTTGTCCGACACAGTGCTCCACATAGCTTGTGAGTGGGCTTGCCTCGACCGCGACATTGTTCGAATTGTGCAGCATAGCAGCCAGGTACCCCAGCGTCGCCGGAACGGAATTGTCAAAGCACATGTGGCCGAGGTATCGCGGAGAGAAGTAGGGCAACGAGTACCGCGACATAAGATCTGTGATAAACGTGAGGTATCGCTCAGTATCTTTCACTTCACGCAAGTACGACTCGGAGGCCTGAGCGGCGGATGTAATAAATTCCTAAGCCGGCTTGTGAGAAGGTTGATATGCATGAATATGATGAGATGCACCGGATCAGCAGGATAATAGTCGTGGCGTTCCTTTCCGATGCGGTCTACGATGTCGCTGAAGTACTTCTTCACGAGATTGCTGTTCTCAGCTTTCGGACCTATGAACCATGCCGACAAAGCGTGGTGTGTCTCTGTCGAAATCTCATAATGAGTACCCTGAGCTGAAGAAGAGACATCCTGTGGCTCGGAAACTCGGCCCATGGGTGCTGGAAGACGAGATTATATGGTAGAGGGGTTTAGAAGAGGCCATGGTGGCAGCGAGGAGCTAGTATTTGAACGAGCTGTCAGGTAGATGGCTAGCTGAATAGACGTCAGCAAGCCGATCCAACTTTAAATCCCACCTAGGAATGCTCAGTTGTTTGACACATCAGTGGCCCACAGTTCTCATAAATCACATCATGCCTGCTGTGTGAGGTGAATACTGCCAACGCAAAACAACAATCTCACTACAATTAGAAGCGCAGCATCTGCATGGATCGGCTGTACCGCGTTCATGAGAAACCAAAGACTATTTAACATGATATAATGAGCCACATACGCTTGCGGCCACAGCGGAGTTTCAATCCTTCCTTATTGGAGCTTCCCCTACTACCATCACCACTATGTGGTCCTTCGCCAGTTTGCCACGGTTCCACCGAACCCGTCTGAGGCCGACTATCATGGCCCCTACAACAAGCTTCTCTAGACCCTCTTTCCTCCAGACAGCGACTTTGTGGTTGTGCCACAGTACCTCGAACAGGATTCTCGAAACCAGACCGACTTCGTGTTCATGTTTGAGATTCAACTGCTGAACAGGCCAGTCCTCATCCTAGAGTTGAAATCTCCAAGCCATCTGCGCATGCAGTCTAAGCGCGAGAAGGCGGATGATCAAATTAGATCGCGCATGTTCGACGTGGTCGGTCCGTTGATCCAAATTGAGCGTCTGTTCCCGTCATTTATAACGCATGTTTTGTAGGAGACTGTCCACTCAACACACTGCATGCCATCAGCGCGATGGGCACGAAGTTGTGCTTCTACACCCTCAACACACAGGACCCCGCCGCGACGATTAACCCTCCCGCAGTTCAACGCCATGCTACAAGGGTGAACGAGACTATACCGGCGAACCGTTGGGCCGATGACATCTTGGAAGATGCGGGAGAGCAGCGATTTCGCGCGATTGTGGAAGAGATCAAAGTAGGATGTGCTGCTCTGGATGTTTGATTCAGCAGAATGCCTCCGGACAATATGCAGCGGGCGATTATTGACTGACTCCCTTCAAGGCTGAGTTACGGGAAACAGAGCGCCGTCCGCCTCAAAGGCATATACATACGTCGCACGAACAAAACGAAGCGTCGCCTCAGGTGTGGAAGTCGCAGCGGCCTCCTGTGGCGGGCGGGCGACGCGTGGTGTGACTAATCGCAAGTCTTAACAAATCTCCCCTGCTCACGGTGTTCTTTCTGTCTTGGGTTTCCTGTTGACTGCTCGTTCGGACATATACATGTACTTCATTTGAGAAGAGAATCATCCACGTCTGGCAGTGACATTAACAGTGTTTGCAAACCGAGCTCGGCACAAGTTGCATCGACTATTACCCTGAAGAGGGGACTCAGGTGAGGGGTAAGCCTTTCATTCCGTGACATGGACGCAACGATGGGCCGAATCCTCCCTTCCATTCTATAAAGTGTCAGATCGCATTAGTTCTGATAGGCCTTCTCGACGAAAGTGTACTGGTCTCATACTAGCTGGCAGGGTCTTCCAGCCATGTATGATACACCGTGATCATAAAACCGTGCATACACTCTTGTTCGCGCGAGGACAGAGGAAAAGACAAATCCCCGAATCAGCCATCTATGATTGGACTTCCCGAATATAACTCAATTGCGAAAGCTTCATGAGTGGATAACGAGCACTAAACTTCATGAGCCTGCCTGGGAAGCTGCAACGAGGTTGATTGTTTTCATCTGTTCTATAGGAATTAGCTGTATCTCAAATGCATCAAACGGTCGAGTCCGCTCATGCTAATGACAACTAGCGGCAAAGAAGCGATATCGTGGAATATGATGCATTAAACTTATACTACCGGCTTAGGTCATAGAGCAGTCAGAACACAGACTAACAGGAACAAGGAGCATCATCGCGACCACGGCTAACGTACACGCACGGATGTCCGGAGACCCATTAACCCTGCCCGCCAGAGGAGGCTTGCAGACAGCAAGAGGAACAGCGGACAGCATTACACAATCATGATGTCTATACTTCCGGCCAAACGAGTGAAACAAAGAGAACGAGGGACCGGGTAGATGTAGGGGCGAGAAAATAGTACACGTGAGGCACAGCATAGATCAAAAGAGAGGCTTAGAAAAGGACGAAAGATGGAAGGAAACGAAACGAAGAGGTGAGCAGATATTGCGGGCCTACTCTTGCCCGAAGCCAACTGTTTCCCTAACAAAGGTGTCAGCGACTCGTACACGAAATACATTGATCGCAGGAATACTCACTCTACGGCCAACGTCAACTTCTGTTCCAATGTCGCATAGTCCTTATACGGTGGGAGGTCAATGCGGTTAAAGCACGTGTGACTCTTCGGCAGCTGGCTGGGATCGCCCGACTTCTCGATCGTGAACCGCCGCGGCCCATCTGAGCCCTGCAGATCCTTAAATCCGTTGACAGGTATACGCGACGTGCCCGTCGCGAACTGCAAGAGCCGCGACTTGCGCTCAGGAGGCCACGAGCGCACGCACTTCCAGAACCACTGGACAACCTCGTCATTGACCTCGTATCCACGGTAGTCAGTGAACTTGCTCCAGTCGTCGCTACGACACATAACATGAGCACCATAAATCGAGAATAGAGATTACGCATGATAGCACTTACACGTCGATCTCGGACATGCCTCCAATGAGGAGCTCAAGCTCACGCTCGTCGAAGACGTTGACGAGGTCCTGCGGAATCAGCTCGCTGAATCCAGACATGAATGCCTCGAACTGGTCCTTGACGCGTCGCTGGATACGGTACTCGACGACGCAGCTGACATATTCTTTCTTGTTATCCTCAGTCACGGGGATTTCAGCACCATCAGCCTTTAGCTCCACAGTGACCATCTCGCCAAAGCGCTCCTCAGTGGTCGTGAACGTCTCGTCGATAACATCGGTGATGTCGTTCTCCCTATAGATGAAATCAGTGGTGAGCAATGTTCGAAAAATGGCATAGCAAGATTACAACGCACAGCATCCACGTTAGTCCACGGTGAAGCTCGGCGTCAACGCTCTCAAGGTCCGCCAACGTCACCTTCTTCCTGAGGATCATCTTGTAGAACGCGGTGATGAAGTATGCATCGAGGAACCGGCGGTGGAAAATGCCCAGGCCCAAGCACCGTCCAATGAACTTGAAGTAGTTCAAGTGCTCGGGGTTGACACCAGACGCAGGATTGATCTGGAGAGTGTAGTTGTCATGTGCCGAGTACTCGAACAAGCAGTAGAAGGGGTTGAACATCTCGTGCGAGAGCAGGAAAAAGAACTCCCTAGATGGTAGGGCAGTCGATCATCAATATTCTGTTCACGTCAACAACAAAATGATATGTACCTTGATAAACCACCGTAGTCCAAACCATCCTCTCCGTCGAATTTGATCATCAGCCGCTTCTTGAGATCGTTCGGAGTTTGCCTCATGATCTCTGCATAACTGTCCTCAAAGATATGGTTTCGCCTGACTTTAATCTGGCAGTTGCCGGGCTGGGCGCGCATTGCAGGCTGGCTCCTGAAGTAAATGAGCTTCCTGCGGAAGTCGCGCTTATACTGAGGCACGTTCGCATCCAGCGTGGATGGCAGGCGTGGGTCGTCCCATGTGGTCGTCTTCGTGTTGTGGTCGACGAAGTACACACGCGCAGTGGACGTGAGACGCATCTCCCACCCGGACGGCAAAGGTCCAAGTTGCGAGATCGTCTGCGGCTGGAAAGTATTGTTCCCCGCATTCGGGCCCATGACGCGGATGATCGTCTGCCGACGAGGATCCACCCATGTCGTGGTGCGGGTGTTGTGATCTACGTAATAAGGCCGACCCTCGGGAGTATACCGTTCCTCCCAGCCGGCGGGAAGAGGTCCTGCACCAGTCGTGGTAAGGTTGTTGCTTGCCGCAAGAGCGGCGGCTGACGTGTTAACTTGGGCCGAGCTGGCACGAGCAACTGCGCTGTTGTTCGCTTCCAACATATCGTCGACAAGGATACGACGGTTGTGCTGGTCGCGAGCGGCATTCGTCACGCCGTCCTGAGCATGGGTATTGGCAGTCTGGCTGGAGGATGGTCGGTTCCATGTCGTAGTGCGCGTGTTATGGTCGACGTAGTACGTGCGTCCCAAGGGGTCGATGCGACGCTCCCAGCCCTGTGGGAGCGGTCCGTACTGATCCTCATGCGGGTTGAAGTTGCGGAGCTGAGCGTTATTATTAGACGCAGTGTGCCCTGTGGCGCTCGGGTTGGCCACCGGGGATTGCGCGCCTACAGCGGCGGCATTGCCCGTGCTTGCGGGTCGCGCAGGGCTCGTCGGCGATTGCTCAGCCTCAGCGCCAGGGGTGGATACGTGTGGCGCCGGTACCGACGCTTGAGCGTTGTCGGCGCCGATTGCATGCGCACTAGAAGTACGAGAGAGTGTGTTGCCTGCAGCCAGGTTGTTGCTGCTCGCCGCCGCAGAGGACCCGCCAGAATTGAGGGAGATTCCGGATAATGTCTCTGAGATCGTGTTCACCTGCGATGGACCAGGATTGCTTATTGGCTGATTAACATTGGTGGAGAGATATAGAATCAGTTTGCCGTGTACCACGAGATTGTCGTTGGACTTCTTCAGGTCTAGTGTAAGCATCTCTGCGAAGGACTGAGGATGTTGCAGGACTGTTGAATAGAACAGGTATACGAACCATGGCCACCCATCTCCAGGTCAATAACATCGCTGACGCGAATGTTTACAACACCCAAGAATCCTTGATCCCGCTTCTTAAACTTGCGCTGGTCAAAGATCTGGACCGCAATCACAGAAGAGTCCTTAACGAAGCTACAGACACATCAGGAAGGGTCGCCACATGCACTGCACATGAACGTACATATCAAAACTCTCGTTCCAGTACGGGTTCAGGGTCTTCTTGATGACGCTCGTGGTGTGAGTTTGCTCCGCATCCACAGTGATCACAGCGAATGGATCAGGGAGGCGGAAGACCTCGCGCTTGGACAAACCATCCGCAGCGACGACTGTCATGTGCTCAACAACAGTCAACGAGATATCCCGAAAACCACTTACCAGTGATCCTGACCTTCTTCCTAGCAGTCGGGGATGTAATGTCAGATGGAGAATGTAACGGAGAGCATGCTGGACCACGTACGGCTGGTTTTGGGGAGTCGTCATCGCGCTTGGCAGCTAAAGGCCTTCGCAGGGGATGATAAAGGAAAGAGACAGGCTTATAACGGCAAAAACAGTGAGACTGGACGAGTGTTGAATGGCAGTGCTTGGGCGTGAGCAGGAAGACCGAGCTGAGCTCAGCCAGGCTCAGCCTCTGGGCCGGGCTGCGATGCCGAACCCACAGCCACCGGCTGATCACCATATCTGGCTTACTGCCAAAATGTTTTTTTTCCCAATGTCCATTCTGACAACCAACCAATGCCTTTCGTATGCCTTCAACGCGATCAACGCTCTGTTCTCGCTTTCAGCACTGGAGAAGCTACTCTAATCCAGATGCAGCCCGGGAGCCACTTTACGGATGTTCTGGGATTACGGACACTGGAAACTGCAATTTTGAATCGTCCTATCCCATTATCATAGTACATTGATCCTCATCGCACCCCAGCTGTCGGATATCCAACCATATGGGAGCGCACTCGGATTTGGATTGCAAGATGTAGGGAGACTAAGCAAATGAGCATAGCATGCCGGGTATCCATCCTCAGGACTCTTCCCATCGGCAAAAGGCCTTCTCTATGTGCTCCTGCAGGGTTCGTATCAAAGACACCCCTCAAGCTCGTTGCTTCATGGCGCACCCAGGTGGAGTGTTTTTCAAACCCGAATCAATGCTTTACAATGTGAGCACTTTTGCCGAGTGTAACATTCCGTCCGCAATGTCTGAACCGTTTTGCAGATTTTGGCGGCGGTTGGTGCTCACCAATTAACGCGTTTGATTTGTCGAGAGACAGTTTTGGCTGATGCTGACAGACTATCGCAACGGATACCAATGTCAGGATCTGCCATCATACCAGCTTCAGATGGTCTCAGTCATACGCCGAATATCCCAATTGGCGGCTCGTGGCTATGATCTGAATCTTGACTCTGTGTACTTCCCGAATCAATGTATTTTCTCAAGTAATCGAAGTTTTGCCTATGCCTACACCGCAGACATGCGACCGTTTTGCCCCGTGGCAAATGCTTAGTAGACGCCACGACAAACGGTGACCTATGGCTACGGTATTTGACTCTATGACATGCCGGATCACAAATCTACGATGTATGGCTGAGCAGAGGGTCGTTGCATATTGTAAACCATAGATTAAGGAAATGCAGCCTTGTCAAGTTCACAATCATACATTCCATATTTGGGAAGAAACAGTCACGATTGCATAGTCTGAACATGTGCCGACATGCCGGGCGGTAGTAAATAACTCTATAGACTTAGCCTTTTACTCTAGCATTCGGGTACACCGTTCCGTAATACTTTACATAGCCCGCAAATCTCAGAATGCGAGCATCGGCCCGATTTATGAAATCTACAGTGTGCATAAAACGAATCACATATACAAAATTTCGTACAACACAAAATCAATCGGCCCGCTAAGTACCCTGCCGATCGGCCCACTCAATGTGCCATCAACTGTTCCTTCAAAGGAACACTCTGCGTAAGTTATTCTGCTACAAATCTCTCAAAGTGGTGGCCGTGGCTTTCAACAATGACCAGATTATGACGGCGAGACGCATATGAGCACCTGTCTAGGAAATCGTGGTGCGGCAAAGATGTTAGCCAGCCGGCACCTTCCCGTCTCATGGGCGCAAAGGGAGTGAGAGGCTGGTGAGGCCACAAACGACTGGGGCCTTGGTACTACAGGTGCGTACTTATATGCTTTTCCACCCTTCCGTACTCGCCCGCTCCGTTTCCAGGTACCGCCTGCGACGCGTTTCAGCCGTCGCTTGGCGCTCGTCCCTCCTGACGCGTTGAGCGCGTTCTACCGAAAGTGCCGTCGGTCGGCCACTTCCAACAACCTGAAGCTATGAAGCTCATGAAAGCGGCTCCTAGAAATGCGACGAGTAACAGCTGCGGCCAGGAAGTCCCTTGATCAGTGGCAATGCCACCGAATTCTCTCTTGCCCTGCAAGACCTGCGCGGCGTGAGTTGATAGCAAGACAAATACATCAGCGCCCGGCGGTTTACTCACATGCGACCAAACTTTCACCTGCGATGGCCCGCTTTCGGTGGTCGCAGTAATTACCGTAAAGCCTTGTGCATTCTCCTTTGTCTGGGACAGCAAAGACGTCAGATAATAACAAATATCAATGCACACAGGCTCACAGTGACAACTTGAACTAGTGCACCTTCAGAGCGAGTCAGAGTCCAGCATGACCTAAGAAAGGTTTGAACCCTTGCACGCACCACTAGAATGGTTGAGACATTCGATCAAACGACCCGTTCTACTGTCGAAGAGACGGGCAAACCCGTCATCTCCACCTACAACGATATTTGTACCGAAAGTCGCAATCTGCATGATTCGGTTGTGAACAATTGGATATGTATATGACCTGAGTCGCTCGAGGGATGGAAATTTGTACTGGTCGACACCGTTGACGAGATTAGTGATGAAAATGAACTCATCGTCTTGCGAAAGAATGCCCACTATAGTGGACAGTGATCAACCTAGGAAATACACCAACAAAAAGCACACTTACATGCGAGTAGGGACTTGCTTTGCCCATTTCAGGGTCCAGGGCTCAATGCCGTAGCAGAATTAGGAAAGGTCTTAGGGTGTGCATGAACAAAAGTACATGGATGACGACGGACATTTCATGAGACTCTAAGAAGCATGCCACGATGCTCGCGCCTTGATCGCAGAAGTGAATCGAACTTGCCAGGACGTCCTGGTGAGGAGACACTTTGATCACACTTTCCAGAACTCCTGAATAAACGAATATATTAACGCAAAGACGTGATATATATCGTTACTCACCGCTGGAATTGAGTGTCCAGACCTGTGCAGAGCCTCCTCCGACACTCGCAACCCGGCGATGGTTTCGGTCGAACTTGATGTCTTGGACAGTATCATCGTGGGCAATCGTCAGTGATGACACCTCAAACATGCTCTACAAGAAATCTCACTGAGCAAGTTGGAAGAGGAAAGTAGAACGCCACACTAACACTCAAATCAGGCCTTCGATAGAGGTGCAAAACTCCATCTGAGGACACAAACACGAATGAAAGCGCCTCGCCAAGCCAAGAGATGGCGCTGATTGCACCATGAAAGAAGCAAGGAATCTCTTGTATCTTCTCGCCCGACTGCATGTTCCAGATCATGAGGTAGCCATCATCAGCTGCAAGGTACGTCATCACTGAGTGGCACTAGAATAGCATGGATCCTCACCGCCAGTCAACAGGACGGCACTGTCATCACTGAGCGAAACTATGTTGATCGGGTCCGCGTGGGCGGCAAAGGTTTTTTTGAGAGTGAACTAGACAAATTGTCAAGTCGTTTACTGAACGAAAGGCATTGTGTACATACCTTCATGCGGGACTAGTGACGTGAACGCAGACCACCAACCTAAACGCATATTATATACAAGCCAAACGAGGTCCGCGGGCACAGAAATACACGCCGAGTGTGAAGAGGATTAGGCGGAAAAGGTATCAGATGCGGGTGGAGGCGTACTAGCATGCCGATCGTTGACTGTGAAGACGTCGATGCGAATTTCAGGACGAGATGGTGTCGCGATTTGTGATCTGCGGCTCGCCTTGGTACCTATAAGGTTATATTGTTTCCTAGTTTAGTATTTACTCACCCCACTCGATCTTGAGCTCCCCAATGCTCACTTCCCTTCAGACACTTGACAGTTAGCATATATATTCGCAGCAAGTACGTCGGATGCCCCAGAGGCTTTACCCTGGTGCAATCCACGTACGTGGTTTTACATATAGTTCTGCACCGTACAGATGTACTTACGCTTAGCACAGTGACGTGATAGTACGCGTCACTTTAGGTATGAATAGCAGAGGCTTTACCCTGGTGCAATCCGCTGACACGATAGTACGCGTCACTTTAGCCCTCCGGTCTTTCCGTGTCGAGTAGACGCAGGCGTACCAGCCGCGTTGACCCCTCGCGGTCATCCGTTGCACCTCCGTGCCGTAGCGCGTTAGGTTATGAGCCCCGAGCTTATCACCTGCGGATACTCGAAGTTAGCGCATGAAAATTTGCTTTAGGTATAAGCAGACTGTTACCTTTGAACGCGCGCATATTTGCACCAGTACTCGTCGCCTGCTTGGACAGCAGGGCCACGAAGTTTCAGATCCAGAAGATCTTTACCCGTACCATACAGAATCCCACCTCGCTCATTTATCTCGCATCGATCCCTCACTCTTCTTCGTCGAAGCAACCCTGGCTTCCGAACTTTCTCCTAGCCCTCCGACTCCTCCGACTCCTCCGGCTCCTCCGGCTCAACCACCAGCACCTTCCCCATCGCAGTCTGCTGTTCCCACCATGACGCCATCTGTCACGAAGGAGTTCTCCGAGGTCCCGAAGCTTGCCGCTGACGGATCGAACTATCGCATCTGGCTAGGCCGCGTCCAGCGCGCTGCAGGCGCATGCGACGCCGATGATCTCTTGACGCGTTCTGCTGACTCTTCGAAGGCTGAAGAGGTCAAGCTGAATAAGCAGATGCTGAACGCGATTACCGGAAAATTCACCGACTCACTTTTCCGGAAATACCTCAGCGTCACTGAAGTATTCAAGGTCATCGAAGGACTGAAAACCGAGTTTGGGACGCCGACCGCTGCGATGGATGCCGTAACGGAGGCGAAACTATTCACTTTGAAGTGTACTGATGAGCGTAAGCTGCGTCAGCACCTCGACCAGCTGGCCGAGCTCAAGGAGAAGTTAGCGGAGTCCAACATCCTCATCGAGGATCGTACTTACATAAACGCGATCACCACCTCCATTCCCCGCTCCTTCGCACCGAGTGTCACCGCGATTATGACCGCCGTCGAGATTTACAACTCGATGCTGTCGACAGGCGCGACCAGGAAGACGGTCATGCCAGATGAGATCATACGCGCGTTGCGAGCTGAGGCCGACTCGCGTGCCGTGTTGAAGTCGGGCGAGCGAACTGCTACTGCCGGAGCTGCGGTTAGCACACCTCGAGGAGGGAAGAGTGGCCGAGGGGCACAGCGTGGCCAGCGTGGTCGCGGTCAGGGATCGAATCGAGGAGGCACCGCTAAAAGGTCGGTTGACGACATTACCTGCTATCAATGCGGTGGTAAGGGGCATCGCAAGGCGCAGTGTCCATCGACAAAAACTTACCATGAATGCCCGAAAGCGAAGACTGAAGCCGCCGTGAGTGCGAGCGACAGTAAGGCTGCTACCGCGAAGCCAAAGGATGGTGCGACGAATAGCACTGCGTCCTCTGCGACGACTGGACCAGCTATTCAGGGTGCTGTAATCTCGGAGGCCTGGAGTACCTCCGTGATAAGCCCTGTGACTGGCCATGAGGCAACCTTCATTGACTGCTCCAAGTTAGCGGAACAGGTCGAGATCCGCGTAGCGAACACTCATGAGACGGTGGCCGCAGCGACGGAAATGGGTTGCAGAGTCGACATTTTCGACTCAGGGGCTTCGCGGCATATGACGCCGCATTTGGACCGCCTAACGAACTACCGTACAATTGTGCCGCAAATTCGGAGATCTTCTATGCGAACGGTATGGGCGACCTCGATATCACTTTCGCACATCGGGACGGGCTGCGCTACTTGCATCTGCGCGATGTCTTGTACGCGCCGGCTATGCATGCGACGCTTGTGTCCCTGGGGATCCTGGAAGAGGATGGTTACAGCTATACAGGTTGTCAGGGGGAGCTACGAATCACCAATCCGAAAAACGTACTTGTCGGATCAGTTCCTCGCGCAGACGGACTCTACCGGATCTTCCACGCGAGCGCATCGCTCGCAGTTCCCGTCTCGCTGTCATTGCACGAGATACATTGCCGGCTAGGGCATGTGAACTACAGGTACCTCAAGGCGATGCTTCGTGAGCATCGCATTACTGGCATCAAGCTTGATCCTCAACGTACCGAAGAGATTGAATGCTGAATGTGCCTAGTCGCAAAGGCATGCCGTGCTCCTATCGCCGCTATTCGCCAGTTTCCACTCGCCAAGATGTATGGCGAGCACGTCCATCTGGACATATGGGGGCCTGCATCAGTCATGACGGTAAACCATAGTCGTTATGCGCTCACAATCGTCGATGATGCTACGCGTTGGCTCGAGATGCCGTTACTACGGTTGAAATCTGAGGCCTTCGGCAAGTTCGTCGGATTCGAAGCACGTTTGCAAACGCAGGACGGTACTCACGTAAAGACAGTGCAGTCGGATCGCGGAGGCGAGTTCCTGTCTGACGATATGTCAGTGCACCTCGAGCGCACGGGAGCCATTCGAAAACTTACCATCCACGATACTCCGGAGCACAACGGCGTCGCAGAGCGAACGCATGGAACAATATTCAACGGCGTTCGCGCGGCCCTTGTCGGGTCCGGTCTGCCAAAATGGCTATGGGGCGAGGCATTAGCTTATGTAGTGCATGTCTACAACTGGACTGCGCGTCGTGCCCTGGGTGGCAAAACTCCGTATGAGGTACGATTCGGCCACACACCGGACGTATCGAAGTTGCGCCCGTGGGGGAACACCGTATTCGTGAAGGTTGATAACGCATCAAAGCTGGATGCGCGCAGTGTCGAGGCTCACTGGCTCGGATTCGACGACTCGTCGAATGGACATCGTATCTATTGGCCAACGCGAAGGATGATCACGGTCGAGCGTGACGTCGTCTTCAGTAAGGAGGCTCCGTGCATCGAGGGGGAGCATAATGACGTGGATATAGGACCTACCTTAGAATCGGAACCAACTCATACTGACGCTGCTCCACCTCCCTCATCACCTATCATTCCCGCTCCTCTTGCAGACTGCGAGCTCCCTGAGGAAATTCACGAACCAGAAGACCCTAATGTTGTGATGGGCAAGAGAATCCGCTTGCCGAGCGCAAAGATGCGCGACATCGCGTCGGGACGAGCTGAGGGCGCCTTGACTGAAGTCGCTATCAATCATGCATTCAGCGAGACCGTCGCGTACACCGTAGGAGTAGTAACCTCCGAGGCAATGGGCTTCGATCCACGAAATGTCGCCGAGGCGAAGCGTCGCCCAGACTGGCCGTTGTGGCTAGAGGCCATGCAAGAAGAGATTCGTCGCCTAGAATCGAGACAGAGCTGGGTTTATGCAAACCCGCCACCGCGTTCGTCAGGAAAGAACGTCGTAGGGTCGACTTGGGCTTTTCGCACTAAGAGAGACGCGCGAGGCCACGTAACTGGTTACCGTGTGCGCCTATGCGCCCAAGGTTTCTCGCAAGTCGAGGGGATCGACTACTACCGCGATGACACCTACGCTGCTGTTTGGAAGCTCGCTTCCATTCACACTATACTGTCAGTAGCGGCTCGGAACGGCTGGCATGCTCACCAAATCGACGTCAAGAGTGCGTACCTCTATGGAAGGCTACGCGACGACGAAGAAATATACATGCGACCGCTGACTGGCATCACTCTTGAGGGCCTGGTACCTGGACAAGTGCTTCGTCTGCAGGTATCGCTTTATGGATTGCGACAATCTGGTCGTCGCTGGTACTCAAAGCTGCGTGACATTCTTGAAAGCTTCAAGCTTGCGCGACTTGAACACGATCACACCGTCTTCTATCGGCGTCATCCGAATGGCGAGATCTCCATCATTTTCATGCACGTTGATGACATGACTATTGTCAGCTCGGTCCTGGCAAACCTCCTGCAATTGAAGAATATGATTAAGTCGAAATTGGAGATTACGGACAACGGTGAGCTCCATTGGCTCTTGGGGATTGAAATCAAGCGCAATTGGGAAAAACATACCATTGCGCTATCGCAGCGCACATATATCGAGTCAATTGTCGCACGCTATGGTTTCGCCGATGCGAAGCCGCTCTCCCAACCCATGGATCCTCACGTCTGTCTTTCCTCCGACCAATGCCCGGTCACCACGGAAGAATATGCTGCCATGCGCGACAAGCCGTATCTGGAAGCTCTCAGAGCGCTGCAGTATGTCTCCGTGTCTACGCGTCCTGATATTACCTTCGCAGTCAGTCAGCTTGCGCAGTTCAGTCAGAACCCAGGCATCACGCACTGGAACGCGCTCAAGCGTGTTTATCAATACCTCAAGGGGACAGCGGACCAGTGGCTGGTTCTTGGTGGATCCGAGGACAATGAGGTCATAGGCTATTCCGATGCGGATGGTATGAGCACGGAAGGACGCCACGCGATCTCGGGATACGTCTTCATGCTGAACGGTGGCGCCGTCTCCTGGTCCTCAAAGCGGCAAGACCTTGTCACACTTTCGACTACAGAGGCCGAGTATGTGGCTTTGACTCACGCTAGCAAGAAAGCCTTGTGGCTTCGCTCTTTCATCATAGAACTGTTCGGCGAACCTGAGCGTCCCATCCCTTTGTGCTCCGACAACCAGTCCGCCATCGCGCTATCGAAGGACGACCGATTCCATGCACGTACCAAGCACATCGATATCCGATTTCATTTCATTCGTTATTCCATTGCTGAAGGAAAGATTTCGCTTACTTACTGTCCTACCGAAGACATGACCGCTGACATCCTTACGAAGGCGCTCCCGTCGTTGAAGACCAAACACTTCGCTGTGTCCATGGGACTAGCGAAGGTTTGAGGGGGAGTGTCGCGATTTGTGATCTGCGGCTCGCCTTGGTACCTATAAGGTTATATTGTTTCCTAGTTTAGTATTTACTCACCCCACTCGATCTTGAGCTC